TTCTGAGATGCGTTTTGGCTTATGTGAGCAAAAGATTTCGAAGAAGTTCTTACATAGAGAATAGCTACAGTTTCAAACATGATATTAAAGTGTCATCACAGCAATTATAATGATAAAGGTAACAGAACATACTATTTCATCTGTAAACATTGTAAACTTCTAAACGGAATGAAGATTGGATTCCTGTTAGGTAATCTGCTTGGCTGTTTCAATAACTTAACAGGAAGGTTTTCCTCATTAAATCCAAGCAGCTGTTTTCTTAAAAAGCACACTTCATACTTTAAAAGTGTCACTTAATGAATTCAAACCAGGATCACTTCTGCAATAAAAAAGTTATAAAATATGAATGTAGATATTCTGCCTATGAAAAGGGAAATAAGACCCTAAGAATCACTTTCCTGAGCATTCATAGATCAAAACTGAAATATTAAGAAAAAGAAAGATGATGAAAGACTGTTCTATCAAGTTCTACGCACAAATGTTTGACTCTCAGTGGATTTACTGTTTGAATAAAGGACAGCAGTGCTCTGATATTTTAAAAGTCTCATATATTCGGATGTCAAGTCTGTGAGAATCAGAATGATATACAGACAATGTGATCGCTGCAAAATGTTATCCTATTCTCCCTGGCTTTAAAATCCCTTCTGGTTTTAAAATTTATGAAAACTCAAGATGCTAATCGAGACATCAGACAGACTCTTAAACTTCCTTTAGCTCAATTCCATTGCATAGCCTTAAAGATGCAGTTACTAGTAAAGTATGTTTGTTTCATTTTTTCCAGGATGATCGTACGCCGTTCTTGAAACTAGAAGAAAAAAATTAATTGATGGAAGCACGTGGATGGTCTCTTTGTTTAGCTTGCACTGGAATTTCAGTACGGGAAAAAGTTAACCTGCTGTATTTATGGAAATGTAGGAGAAATCTTGACAAAAGCTTCAAGCTATCACTGATGTGTTTCTTCACAAGATAGATATGTGATGCCATTGGATTGCTCTCAGTAACTATCAGCTCCTGATCCCTTCACAGCATCTTGCGTGGAAGAAGCTCTGAACTTGAATTTCAGACCTTACCATTCCCATGTATTAGCTGAAAGCATATTTTATTACATTGTGGAGAGTCTGGGACTTAAAATTAAATATAAGTTTGATATCTAGAGTCTTCAAGAAACACTTCAAGATTTATTATTTTTGTGAAGCATCACTCTCTCTGTACAGGACATAATTGTCTTTTATGCATGCAGAAGTAACTGCTGCAGATACTGCCCGTATCATTTAATTATTACACCACAGAAAGGAACAGTAGGCCTGATTAAGCTCAGCTAAAGCTCAGCTAAAGTTTAAACCCACTTTCGCATTAAGCATTCCTTTCTGCTTAAGATTCTAGATGCATTTTACCAAGAAATCAGAGCATAAGAAGGAAGGAAGGCAGGCACTCAGACATGATCCAGTCCTTTGCCCATGGACAAAGGAAGGACCAGCTACAATGTCAGCTTTCATGGCAGACATTTGCCTGGCCTTAGTTCAAAGACCTTTGGTGCTGGCAACTCTAAGCTCACCCTAAGCAATGTGTTCCAGTGTCTCACTGCCCTTTTATTATTATTATTCACCCCCCCTCCCCCCAATCCAATCTCCATGGCTGCAACTTAAGCCCATGACATCCTGCTAAATTAACCATAGGCTATTTCATAATCTTCCCTTCTATAGTACTATCTTCATACAGTGGAAATTTAAAAAAAATATTACTGAACATGTGCATAAGATAAATTATGTATACACAGTGAGCCACAGTAAAAAGTACAATTAATTCAACCTTCTAATAACTGAATACTTCCTAATCCCACAAATTAACTGAAAATTAGGTTGAGACCTCACAATGATTAAAAGATCATTTTGTTTCAAGTATAGTGATAGTATTGCAGTATACAATTGACCTCAAATACTTCATTCAGAAATACTGTTGTTATAATGGTATCAACAGACATGGTTACCTCCATTTTTGAAGGAAAGTGGGTAATTTATTTGGCAACATGCTTTTCAAGATGTTTCACTTTCCTAAGCTGTCTAACATTTTAAAAATCTACACTTTTTCCTTACTCAAAGATAAATTCTGGGTTTATGACCAAAATAATGACAATAAAAAAGGCAATTATTGGCTATATTATGTGCAGTTGAACTTGCACTGAACAAGGTGAGAATTTTCCTAGCAATTCATTTCTAGAAGAACATAACAGATAACTGAGTACAAAGACTGGTGTTTAACAAAAAGTAGACAAAATACTGCCAGAAAAAAATATAAGATTTACCACTTAAGGAATTGAGAGTGTTGATACAAGGATTTAATTTGGATCCTTCTTTTTGAAGAGTGATTAAGTTTTAATCCAGGCAGGCATAGATAGATTAGAAATTTATATTGCATGTTAGTTCCATCTCCTATTGATCATGGCATTATAATAAGTAGTATAAGCAAGTAGTCTTCTGTGCAACGTTCACTTTGTTGTAATTGCTCTTTAAAAAAAAAACAAACCAACAAAACAATTTTGCACACATGTATAACCATCCTGATCTGTGACTCCTTCCTACTTTATGTTATGCACTGTGGAAATTTAAATTCATAATGTAAACCAAAAGATGTCCAAGTGCATTTCGATCTTTGTATTATTTTAAGTCCCAAAAGACAACTTTCCCACATCTGTCATTGTCAAGCAGCACAATTTGCAAGCTCTGTCTGTGGCCTACAAACCTCTAAAAGTTTCTACCAATCTCGGAGTCCAAATTGTGAATCCAAGGAAACACATGTGGGATCGCAAAACTTGGCACAGCATGGGTCTGGGATGCCCCACTGAAGGCAGAGTTCAAAATTCCTGTACTTGTGCTGTTTTGATCAGCTAGCTTGGGCTGGTTTGGAACCTTAATCAGTTACAACTGTTGCTCTTACGCTTCGTGCTTAAAGCTTTTCAAGGACAGTCATTCAGTCCCTAGTTTTGGGCGTCACTGCTAATGGTGGCACTTTAATATTATGAATTGCTTTTCCCTTGAAACAGATTTGTATGAAGTTCTGACACAGTTTGGAAAAGAAAAAGTGCCTGAAAGTACATTGGAGGAAAAAGAAGAATCTCTTCAGACGTTATTACTTGCTGTCATACTGCTAAAGCTTTAACAACAAGCTTTTATACTAAGTTGAGAATGGTACTCCAGCACGCTTCTCACATATACGAATGTCAGGAAAAAGTTATTCTTCCTTTGGTAAAACATACCAACAAATACAGTACGAGCCTTAAAGTTCTTCTTACAGGTAGCATTGTATTTTTGAATCTCTACAACTAGATCTTTAGAGACCTTTTTGTAAAGATCAAGCAGATCATTAGCAGTCCCTCTAAAACATTTCGTATTGATTTTCTTATTTTCTGAAGCAGCAGCTTTCACTTACACCCTCATCTTGGCTTACTTGACAGCTACCTTTTGCACAATTTTCAGATAATAAAAATGAGCCACAGAGTAACATGAAAACAAAAACATACTTCAGCATTTCTGAAGCACGGTGAAGTATCCAAAACCTTTGCCACTACAAACACAGATACATGACCATTACCATGCCTATCCCTGGAGCAAAATATTTCATTCTACATTCATTCATACGACTGGATGTAGAACATTGTTACTTTAGTATTTTGCCCACAGTGGTCTATTTTTTTAGAAAGACTTTCACTAGGTTCATTACATGAGTGTTTACGATGGATCCCCAGCTATATAACAACTCAACTGACTTAGGTGGCTACCGGAACTTCTAGTCTACTCTGCCATTTGTACACCGGGTAGAGAGTAGACTCACCAGTTCACTGTGCTCCTTTGTGACATTGTTAACTAAAGCTTTCTACATCTTTTACCTATCTCAACATTTCTCAACAGATTTCTTTTTATTTATTTATTAAGTCAGTCACTGGCTTGTTTCAGCTGAACGGATGAGTATGGCTAAGGCACAGAATAATGGCAGGTCAAAATAATGCTTTTTCCCTCTGCAGTTAAGGAGGGGGGAGCTCCCTTGCCCATCCAGATCTGGGGAAGTGATGCCTCACTCAGCTTTTCCTCCCTCATAGCCAAGGTGAGAGCTCCCTCTCCTGTTTCAACACATTTCTCACCACTACTGTTTAAGAACCAACGCAGGAATGCAGTCCGATGACATGCAAGCACAACTCAGCTCAGGAAGTTCTTAAATCTCTAATAACAAGAGTATGGCAGTTAATGCTAACTTTTCAAACTATAAAACATTTCCACTGCACAGATTTTTGGTACCAACCGTGGCAGGAAGGTCTGCACTGATAATGGCGCTGTGAATGCGTAAGTTGAAGTGCAAGTAATCAAAGAAAGCTCATTCCAGTGCAATTATCAGAACCTCTTAAGAATTAAAGGCAAATAAATAAAAATTAGAGGTTATTGCTTATTTAAAGAAGGGTTCAGCAATTACATAGCATGTAACATGAAGGATGGACTAATTCATTTATTCTAAATACAGCAGAGAAGAAAGTCATTGAGATTAAAATTTTTGTCTATAGGAGAGCCACAACCAAAGAGATTGCTTACACACTATCAAAAGAAAAAACAAACTCAGAGCTACAGATTTCACTGAATATATTATTCCTAAATAGCATAAACTATATTAGTATTCCATGGGCATGTCCATGGGCATGTGTTTTTTCCCCCCTTCAATTAAAATATTGGATTTGAAAACAAAAAAAACAAACAATGCAATCTATTTAAAAATAAAATTTGAATGAAAAGACAAATATTCATTCTTATTTGGGGTAGATTAAGAAATAAATCACTCAAAAACCAAATATATCTAGTCAGGCAATTCTGAGTCTGTGATAGACGAGTAACACTAGAATGAACCAATATATGATGAACTAAAAAGCAAAATTTCACTGTCATGATATAAATCAGCAAATAAATTAAAAAAAAAAAAAAAAAAGCCCCATCAATATCTAAAAGAGAAATAATGCGAGCCAATGATCAATGAATTTAATGGAAGTCTTTCCAGTGACGTTAATAACATTCAGAGCTGGCTTTTGTGCTCCAAGCTGATGGTGGTTTCAGGTGATACAATCATTTTCAAGCATTAAAACACAAGACGACAGCCCCGTCTGTTTGGCTGCTTGTCTGCGTTGGCAGTGTAGGGAGGGGGGAGAGGTGTTAAGATTGCTATTAGAGAAAGATGAAATATTACACCACTCCAGACAAGAACTGAGAGCCAGTAAAATATTTCTGGCAATGCCCTTGAGATAACCACCTGTCACATCACTAGAATGTGCTTCTGAGTTATTTTCTGATGTAGTTTCGTTCCTAAGCCCCTATTTTCAGTATAACATATTACCTTTTTAGTATCTGGTACACTATACAGCACATGTATTAATTTTCCTTCTTCCAATTGAATTTTTAATGAAGATAAATTATAATCATGACATTTACATCTCAATGATTTTCACAATTGAAACACTCTTATAATACCGGTGCACAAGCTGTAAATGGGTTACACAGCCAGATACTAAAGCAATCATTTTATCATTGTCAGAATGAACATAATGCCTACTGCAACCAATTGGACTTTTATGGGAACAGTTGGATCAGCTGTTTTTACATTGTAAGAATTGCAGTGAAGTGCCCATTATCTATCTCCACTGTCAAAGGACAAGGTACAATCTTTGCTATCGTTCTCAAGACTATGAAACTAGGTCTTGTAACACAGCCAAGATCAGATACAAAGGAGGGCCAAAGTCACAAATGGGTTGCAAGAGAGCCTAAAGATCACCTAGTTCCAAGCCCTGTGTCATGGCAGTGGCCAGCAAAAGGTCCAAGAACATCAAATCCACAGAGGTGAGAATTTATTCCTGGCCATGAAGAATGGAAGATCTGAAGTCATTGAAGGTGCTAAAAGCATAGATGAGTGATATGGGGAAAAGGAAAAAAAGAAAAAAGGAGAAGATTGCAAAGGTATAATTGCAGAGAAATCTTAGATGAAACAGCAGAGCTGCTGTGGGGAAAAAAAAAAAAAAAAAGAATAAAAATAAGGTAAACCAACACAGGCAGAGAACTTGGCCCATGAGCTCTAGCAACACTATAAAAAGTTAGAAATGAGATCTTTACTATAGCCAGCTGAGTAACTAGGACAAGATTTTTTCTGCAAGTACTCACCGTTATTTCTAGTACCCAGAGGTTAGATGGGTTTGCTTCTGCCTCAAGCCCTCAGGTCACTCAGTCCTTTGTTGTTGCAAGCTGCCTCACTACCTCAGCTTTCTCATAACATTTCTTTGTGCATTAGCTACTCTTTCTTCAGTCTGCATGCTAGCTGTCTGATCTATGCAGAAATTCTATCAGAAAGAGAGGAACACGCCTACATTCCCTGACCTAGTCCATGAGACAAAGAGCACAAAGAATACTGTGGTTTTTTTTGTTTGTTTGCTTTGTTTTTAAATTGAGCCTTAGGTATAATACCATCATTAAGCACTGAAAACATCATTTGGGTGAGAAGCCAGTGGATACCACTGTACTGGATGTGCCTGGGATGGAGTTAACATTCCCCACAGCAGCTCATAGAGCGCTGTGCTTGGCACTCATAGTCCTGTGGAGTAATCACATTACCTTTGTGATAACACACAGCATAGACTACAACATTCCTATTTTCAAAGGCAAACTGAGCACGTCTTCATTCCCTTCATCCTCTTTTGGGCACATCTTCTAGGCTGATAGCAATCCAGAGTCTGCTGTCTAAAAAACGCCCTCAGAAGTCAAGATGTTTCTTGAGGATGGAGAGGGATTGCACAGTATGACGAACCTGATGGCTTCGTAGCTCAGAGCACAATTGTCAAAATGGTAACTAAGTAATAAGAGCTCAGTGAGATTCATCATTGTCCTCCATGCTCCAACATAAAGCCAGAATAAACTTGATTCAACAGTACTAGACATATCCCCGTGGAACTTGTCAGAGAATCTGGCTTTATTCCCAATTAGATTTGGAGAAAATCAACTGCAGATTTATTTTTTTTTTCTGTTGCATCTAATAACTCAGAGCAGATCTGAACTGATCTAATAGCTCAGCTGGTCACATCGATAAAATCCCAACATCACTCAGCTTGGAAAGCATCAGATCTACAGAAAAGACAGAAGGTTTATACTGATATAAAAACTTCCTTAAAATAATTTTTGCCCCTTCGTGATGCACTAAGTTCCCAGATCTGCTTAACCAGAGTTACACTAGTAAATCTTTTTATGTTTTTGAAGAAAAATAAACAGTAAAGGTTAAGGTTGGGAATATGCTATTTAAAAGAAAAGAGCAAATATTTCCCGCCTGCTATTTAAACATTCAGTGGGCAGATAAACACAAGAAAACCCGTTAATGTTTCTGTTCACATGAGCATTACCCAGAGCCTGCATGATGTGCAGAGACAAAATCTTAAGTCTACAAGCTTTTTCAGCTTGACACCCTTTCCCCTCAAAACACAGTTTACTCATTCCTTAAGAAAGCCTACTACGACCCCCAAAACACTTTTTTGTATTAAAAATCAGAAATGTGGAAAATGACATTATGCATGGTGAAAGCTGGTGATGCAGGAAATTTTATTCAACGAGCAGGTATGCGAAAAGTTTGGTGTTGACAACTGAAACAAAGGGAACAGTGAGAAGAGAGGCTGTGAAAATGTACTGTTGATGACTCCTGGCTCAGCGTTGAACCCTTAGGTGAGTGCCGATGTGGTTTCCTGAATGCTAGTGAGATGCTTAATATTATCTAGTACCTTGGCTGATTTCCTGACTAGAGAAAATAGAGAGCAAGGAAAAGAAATACAAAACAGCATTTGCAGATCTGGGAGAGATAGTACCCAGCATTGCTATACGAGGGGGAAAAAGAGAAAAACCAACGACCTACAGAACAATCTGGCATAAATTCCCCCAGAGCCACATTTTGAAGGATGACAAAAATCGTTCCCTATGGCAAAGAGCAGAGGTTTGGTAGCAGGTTACAACCATGAACATTACAGTGCTCACTCTACAGAACGTCAACAGAGAAGAGACTGTCATCCACAAGGAGAGCCCACAAGGACTGCTCAAGAGGCGACCAAAGTGCCTTATGCTGTTCTCTCATTCATCTTACGCTGTATTCAAGACATTTTTATTCCACTGAGTTGAATCCTTACTTGAAATATGAAGTATTCAGCCCAGTTTTACACCTACAGCAAGAAATATTTTGTGACAAATATTCAAGTTTGATGTATTTTCATATTTAATATCTTTAGATCAGTGTCCCAGTGATTAAGAGTACCATGGTCTATTATTATCAGCCATTAAGAAAATGTACTTTATCAATAAGAACATAAGAAATAAAAATTTGCATAATCAGCAGTATTGGGAACTAAATCTGGAAGGACAACTTTAAACCAGATTTAGAATGGCCTCTTGTTTTGAATCTTCTGATACCTAAATTTTCTGCTTTTAAAGACAGAAAGCACTCTGGTTTTAAAACTCAGTCTAAAGGTGACACCATTGTAAGAATCCTTTAGCCATAGAGCTGTTAAAAGTATGATAAAGTAGCAAGCTAAGGCTTGAAAACACTAGAGATTAAAAAAAAAAAAAAAAAACTGGCTTTCAAAAATATCAGCCCTGCATATCAAAACATAATTTTCAATGTAATTGAGAATCCTTCTTGATTGTACAACCACAAATTCAGGTGCTTTAAGCTAATCAACTTTACTATTAACTTCTATGTTAGTAAAATGTCTATGTATACATAACTGTTATTTCTAAACCATTTAATACATGAGTCTGATTACATTATGTATCTTCTCACCAAACAGTGCGAAAGAACAAAAGCTATGAGAAGCTGCCTTACCTACCAACTTCAACATGTATTCAAAGGGGAAAGACTTTGGCTTTCTTTTAGAGCAAAAACCTCTCAGAACTCTGGGATTTTTTTTGTATTTGAATAACCTACTCAACTTTATGTGAACACATCAGTACAAGTGGCTCAGGGAGCCAACCTCAAATCTTCTCTGCTTGTCAAAGGCCACCTTACACAAGTCTGATAACACCAGATAGCAAGTTTTACAGTTAGTGTGAGACTTCACTGCCTGTTGAGTTTTCAAAGGGAAATGCCAGACAAAATGTTGTCTGGAAAAAATGTCAATCCTGATCAACTTTGGAAATGCTTTTGTGGCTGTGTAAACATGGATAAACTCCTCAAGAGTAGTTCATCTATGGGCAAATACAATTCTGTAACAATACCAAGGTCAACAATGTGCTAAGTACCACTGGCAAGTCAAAATGCCTGAGGGCACCTTGAGCTCATATACCCAATTTTCCACTGTGTCAAAAATTATATGAGAAGCCAATACATCCTGCAACCTTCCATCTCTTCCCTTTTTGTATAATCCTTATCCTTCCACCACCCCATCTTCAAAATCCCCTCACACTCTTGGCACACTTCCCAGAGCCCATGATGAGGTTCATTAAAGGAGAATACTGATTTGGGGTGATCTGGTCTGTATTAGCTGAAAATACAGCTCTACCTTATTCAACTTGTTCAAGGAATCTGTGATAAGCAGAGCATGAATAAGATAAGAAGCCCTTACATATCTAATTTCTTCCTTCAGGTCAAAAAAGGCAAGTGGAAGAAAAGAGCCCTCTCCCTGTCTTCAGTAATACCAGACTGGACCCATGCTGATAACCATCTTGCAACACAGAAGGCAACCTCTTAATAAACACTAAACCCTTCTAATCTGAAAGATTGCAACCATTCTAATTACCAGAAATTAAATTGTTCAATGAAGGCTTATAAAAGTGCAAGTCCCTGAGTGCATAGAGAAATGCAATATAAATCTGCCTTTCTTTTTATTTTGACAGGACATAATCTGCTGGGTAGCATCGTAGTACACATGAGATTTGATACAGATGTCCAAAAATATAGATAATTACTAAAAATAGACCTCATTAAAAACCATTTGCAAGATTTCACCATAAATGTAACTAGATTTCTCCAATAAAATTTGTATTTCTTCCTGCAAGTGCCTGTGGCATGTTAATTACTCAGAGACTGTTGTGTTATTGAATGCTTTTGTAGAAGATATTTTCTTTCTAGCTTTTACATACAAACAGGATTTAAAACTCATAGTTGTTTTAGAATATAGGTGAACACTGGAAGGACATGTGCATTAAAAATTTCCTGGTAATAATTTAACTGCACTGTCCAGCACATCGTGCAATTACGCATGTCCAGCCAAAAAGAGTCCTGTTGCCAGGGAAGTGGGAATTCTGCTATGTTAGTGACAACAGCTAGATAATGCAAGTTTATGATGAGAAAACTCTTATGGCAAAGTAACTACTAAAAACCAAAAGATTATATTGTGCTATGCATTCTTTTTTCAAGAGGAATGAAGTGTTATTTTCCTCAGACATCTTTCTGGCTGCAGCAAAGGATCAGAGCATCATGCTAGAGAGAGGTTGAAATTCACAGCTTCAGCTGTTATGCCCCAGAAGTCCCTCTTCAGAGGTTTTTCTCCTTTACCCAGACAAAAAGCACATCCTTTCATGTTGTTAACCTGCATCACTGGATTTTGAATTCCTGCTGCCATACTCCAAAAAGTCTGCAGATGACACAGAAGATCATTCAGGTCACAAGTGTTCCTGTTGAGCTGTAGTCTCTTTTGGATTACATCACTTGGAAAGCAGTCCAAACTCTTTGTCTGAGCCTCCTAGATGCCCTGCAGCATACAAGATTTAGATAGCTGCCCAACTAGCAAGGTACCAAACCTGCTGACACTCCTGAGTCCATTCTAACAGAGGTGCAGCTATTAGGGGTCAGAAAGAAAGAGCAGAATAAAATACCTACTAATAAAATCAGGAGTCAAAGACTCACTAAACACACTTAGAAACTTTCTCTCCTCTCTGAAACAAATGTTTTCTCAGCTAAAAAAATTAAGTTGTAATTTCAAACTTTTTAAAGTCTGCTCAATGCTGGAAGGAATGTTTTATTATCCAAGCAAAGAAAAGAAGCAAAGAATGTAATCATGGAACTATTGTAGTGGCTCTGCTGCATATAAGATTTTAAAAATCCTGAAATGGGAGGAGACCAGAAATGAAATGGAAAAACAGGATCTAATGGAACCTAGGTTTGCAAGCTAACCTTAGTTATACTGACCTACTGACTGGTTTGTTTTGTTTTTAAAAAAGCTACTCATTAAAGTACTCAAGATGAGAATCAGTACAAAAAAAAAAAAAAAAAAAAAAAAAAAAAAAAGAGAGAGGAAGGCTGGAGAACCATCTGAAAGAGATGGAAAAGTAGTCTGATAACTTAAGGCTAAACTTCCCTGCAATAGCAAGGATTTAGACTTAATGACCCAGAGGACTTCATTCCTGTCTTGTTCTTTATGCCCTTACAATAATTGGAAACTACTACACATCTGTGGGATGACTTCCAGGTAAATTTAGAGTACATGTGCAGACATATTAAAAAGAGCATGCAGTACCATCTAAACTACGATTGGAACTACATTAATCCTTTTTTCAAAGGCTTCATATGAAAGCAAAGATGGGCACTTGCATTTTCATGACACTGTGATACATCACTCTGTGAATAATGGCTGCAAATAAATATCCCATCCATGGAATTTTAATCTTCCTCCCATTTAAAGTTTATAAGGGTACTGGTACCAGCAGATTTATATTCCCTACCCAGCCAGCTTCATCAAATGAAAAATCCTGGCATTCAATTGCATTAAATGGCAATCAGTCAGTCTTCTTCTAATCTGATGGTTAATATATCATGTCAAAAGCTCTCTTATGAAGAAGATTGAATTGGAATTTCATCTATAACATTAATTTAATGCATTACGATAATGAGTCCCAATCCCAGCCCTGAAGCTTCAAGGAAGCTTGGATATGGAAACGTACCTGCACCCAAGCTTTCTGCCTCAAGCCACCTGCTATGCGATAGGCCAAACCACAATCTCTACATTCATCTCCTTCTGAACATGGGAGAAACTGAGATTTTACAAAGATGGATACCTGTGTTCAAGATCCTCAATAGCTGCTCCATTACTTTCTTCACTTACAGGCACAGGTTCTCCCATGTTAGAAGATCTTGTGAAAACAGATCTCTTCAAAGGTTAGAGGATGCCAGTAGTCAGTTGTCTACACTTCAAAAGGCATCATATTTGGAGCTCAGCTGGTGAACAAATCCACCTTCTGGGAGTTACTAAACTGGCTTCCAGAACCACAGAATTTTTGTATGCTGGCCATTTTGGCTTTTCTCAAGCAGTTTTTTCCCCAAAACACTTCAAGCAAATTATCACATGCACCAGAGGCAGCAAAAAAAAAACCTACTGTAGATTTAAAAATTATTTTTCCTTCAGAACACAGTCCAATATTACCATTATGTCTGTAAACAGAAAAACGGCATGATACTTACCAGAGAGGTGTAGAGCACCATCTGAGTGCTAACTGTCAAACTATAAGCCTAATGATATCTTCTAGGATAACAAAAGCACTGGGAGATTTTGCTAACCATATCCATGTGCAGCACAGCTACAATCAATCATTTCAGATGATAACTATCAAATTGAATGTAACTGACAGTCATTAACACCACTTATGGATGAGTCTCTAAGGAAAGATAATTTTGTGCTGTCCTTCAGCTTTCTGGGAGACAATTCATGCAAGAGACAGTTGCACATCTGACATCCCCTTCCTGCCAACTCTAATTGCTTATTTTTCTTGAGCTACACCCTTGTAGCCGAGCTTTATAGGTCTCTTGCTGTGCTCCTGCCCTTTAACTGGGTCTTTGATGGCTAACCCTTTACCAGATTACTGTACTTGAAAGTGGAACAAAATTTTTTTCCCATTAAAAGTTAATCAGGCTGTTGTAGTAAGAGCATGTAACAGCTTGCAGTCTCAGATCCAGTAGTATCTAAGTTCATATACAAAAATAATGAAACTCATGGCATGGAGTCAAGTCCCTTTCTTCATCAATTGATTTCTCCATGATTATTCAGCTTTGTCTCCCTTACATATTGGACAGTGATAGGAAAATGACGTGCTGGAAAATGAATTATTTACTGTTACTGGATTATGACTTAGGATAAGTACAAATGACTGTGGTCTAGTCGTAATGTGCTTTCTGTCCTGAGCAAATTCCAAAAATTAAAAGAAAAAATCTATTTTACCACATTATTACTAGTAGATAACATTCACACAAAGGTGACAGACTAGTAAATACGTATATAGATATCAATAACTTCAAATGTACTGTTTTTCTGTAAAGTAAAATATAAAGGAACATTATAACAGATAATTTTTCTTCCAAAGAGCATTCTAAAGTGCTTTACAGACTAGAATAATATAATCACTAAACTAAAAAGCTTATAATGGAAGAGACAAAATATAGAATTAAGAGACTCGGACAAGTGAGAAAAGCTGCTGTCCAATGATATTTTAAAAGATACAGCAAGTCAATGAGGCAGAGGCTCCAAAAGACTGTTCCAGATGGCAGTGTCTTCAGAGGAATAGTTTTACAGCAAAGGCACAGTTGTGGGATAGCACAGTGAAGACATGGTTGTCAGTCTAGTCAAAGGATCAGAGAAGATAGGAGCAAGTAGAATAGATGACAAAGTAGGATGCAGTGCAAACATGTCCCAGAGCTCATTTTCTACCCTGTGTTCAGTAGTGAGACCACAAGGACTAGCGCTATAGCACACTTTCTGCTTTTACATTCACTCTTTTCTTGAATTACCTTACTAACTTCAATTTCACCATTTTTGGACACAGTGCCAACATGCATATCAGCTGCAATGTCCAGATTTATAAATCCAATACCAATAACAACTGCAATAATGACCATAACAAGATCTACTGGAGGAGATGACAAGTACAAAACATTTTCAAAGGAGATGACAAGTACAAAACATTTTCAAACTATACCTTAAACTGAATAAAAGAAAAAAAAATTATACTGGAAAAATAAAGGAAATAAAACCATACACATACATTTTCTGAAGTACACGAACAGCATCGTTTGAAAAATTGCACAGCCAAGAGTGAATATGTTTAGTTATAGTTGTTCTGATGGCTCAGATCAGGCTATATGAGGAGGGGGAAAAAAAGGGATTTAAAAGAATGCCATTAAATATTGCTTTTACTTTATATAGTACTGCCTCTCTAAGATAATTCCAAAATTATTTGGAAATGATGATTTTGGTAGCCTCTATTCAGACTAATTTCTGTTGCCAGAAGAATTGCAAAGCTTTTTATGAACCAGAGGTCATCTCTCCCCCTCAGCCTTTTGGTTATCGGGAAGAAATAGTCAGCTCATTTTTGAACTCCATTTCATTGTTTGTGAAACACAACTAGCCTGCAGCTAAGCTAACCCTGCCTCTACAAATGTGTCCAGCAGGCTTCACCAGAAACCTTTTTGCATAAAACTCGCTCCTGATTGCTTTATTTCCTGATGGGTGTTGAGGAAAACTGGAACATCCCAACGACCTGGAATTCTTCCGTGCATTTTAGTAAGAAAGCTCTGAATGCATGACCAGGGAGCTGGGGAATCCTCATCCTTAAGATGAGACTAGATGGTCTAAAAAGAGAGATTAATGGCATTGTTTGGTTACATGCCTAAACTCTCTTCAGTATTTCATCTAAAAGTTGCATCATATAGAAATAACACCTAAGGAAATGTTCACACCACCTCCGGCAAAGCTGGCCTGTTGCATTGCAGACAATCCTACAGTCTCTACCAACATTTCCTAACGTGGGTGGTTGTTTTTTCATAACCAAAGAACACAAACAAAAGCAAATAAAACAAAGAGGAAAAAAACATTTTTATGTCACATCGTCTCAATAGAAAAACAGGGTAGGGCTCACTGTCTAGCTTCAACTATGGTAGGAAACTGAGCCATCCCTACCTTTAATTTCCAATAAAAATTATTTTGCTTTGCATAAGTCAAGGGGAAAAAGAGGTGAATTGCTGTGAAATATGCTCCTAGACAATGTAGTGTTTTAGAAGATTCCTTTGTATTTAAATAGAATGAGCTTACTGTAAATCATAAGCTTTAAAGTTTTAAAGTTGTAATTGGATCAGCAGAGCTCTGACAGGTTTCAGGTTTTTATAGCAGCCGTGGATCTAAAAGAATGGATTTCTTAAAGAGGCACACAAGAGACAAGCAACAGAAAAGATCCGGTCTGGGATATATTTTCAAAGGAATTTCAAATAGACTATCAATCCCTTAATGCTCTTTTTGTATTATCAGTAAACAGTTTAAACTTCAGAATGCAACATACCCTACTTTGCCAGCTTATTCTCACTGCACCTAAGACCCCATTATTTGACAGATGACTAAGGACTTAGCTGATTGTCTGCAGCATTTGATATACAATCTTGACAAGCATAGTCTATTAAATTAGAAGCATGCCAGCTGAAGTGAGTGACAGAGACACAATTAAAGAAGTGAATAAAAAACAAATAGTAAGATTTTCACCTATGTGTCTTATACACAGTTGACTTGTAAAAAGACTTTTATCTTTCAAAGAGAATTATTATATCCCATAAACAAGTTAGGAGTACATTGTAACCTTAATTGGTAATTAAGATTCCACACAGTGACATGCTGAATTTCATAGCAGATGCTTATAATCCTGTCCCTAAAATCCATTTATCTAAGTCTGAATGACTTTCACTAGGACTTAGATACCCAAGTCACTGAGATGCTTTTGAAAAACAAACTCAAAAGCACTACAGATAAAACTCTAGGCATCTCTTCAACAGACAGAGTGATACTTTCCTGTTACTAAAATATAAAATACCATAAAATACCTCTCTGAATAACAGTGAGAGCGTATACCTGTGCTGACACTTTCTAAATAAAGGATCGAGTCTTGAGATGTTACCTTGCTGCAGCCTTTTGAAGCAACCTCTTCGAGGACTGGAGAACCTTTGTATTCTGTAATATCAGTAACAATCATAACAAGTTAGATTTTTCTCTCCTGGATATGCAAGGTAAATCAGATCCCAGCTATCAGCATTCAAAGCATGCAAAGGGCACAAGCAAAGGAAGGCCGCCTGTCAGGCTGAAAAGAAAAAGTGCTGCTGGAAAGGACTTCATAAAGTGGCAATTGCTAATGTAGCAAGAGAGAAAGAGCAGTATGTTTGTCTAAAATACAAGCAGAAGTATTTGGGCAAGATGTCCTTCAACAGGATATCACACTAGTTAGATCAAGGATTGAGTTACCTTTCCAGTTTGTAGAGTAATTAGCTTTACCATGAAGCAAATATATGATGTAATTGACAGTCCAATACAGCCTTGATCTTACCTTCATCTTCTTGTTTTCTGAGGAGGAAGAGGTATTAGTTCATAATTAAATATTTTTAAAAGACTGCGTATCTGTAGAATCATAGAATGTTTTGGGTTGAATGGGACCATTTAGAACCAGTATTTCTTGGCAGTGACACACCCCACCAGCTCAGGCTTTCCAGGGCCCATCCATGTCCTTGGACACCTCCAAGATGAGGCACCCAGAGCCCTCTTGGCAGCAGTGCCAGGGCCTCACCACTGTGTGAGTGCAGAATTTCCTCTCAATACCTAATCAAAATAGATACATGTGTTCCTATCATTTCAATTATACAACATTATCAGGCCACACAGGAGTGACTCTTCTCTCTGTAAGTTTCCCTCAGTTTCACTTGTTTAATGATCCAAACATTAGTAAAAACCAATGATGACATTAAAAGAATTTCTGCAAAAAAAAAAAAAAAAAAAATCAGAAGTTACATTTTATTTTCAGGAAACTGCTAGCATGCAGAGAATTGGAATTCCCTCCTCTTCTCTTTTCTAAATTTATTAATTTAGAGTCTCAAAACAGATGACACTTCAAGTTCATTTCATTTTGATGTCCTAATGTTGAGCAGTAATCAAACATGACTTTCCATTTTGAGTCAATGGTATCCAAGCAGTCTTTGACCAACCAGGCCAGCTGAGGCCTATCTTTTAAGCCTTGGCAATTTTAGGCAGACTGAGCTAGACTGACCGGTAAGCTTTTACATTGAGCTGAATGAGACCTTAATATACTTTCTGTAGACTGTTCCATGAAGAATGCTTTTTTTTTTTTGGTATTTAAATTCCTAGAAATCAGACAGTAATGAGGAACAAGACTGATAGCATAGTTGCATGATTCATATTATTTGATTTCATTTCTATCTCAGTGAGTAAGTATTCCATAATCAAGTTATTGTTTTTATGGAGTTGAGAAGATATAATCTCTGCATAGTCATCCTTCATTACTCTAAGGAAGCCTGGAACACATTTCAATGGGCTTACAAATTAAAAATATATGAAGGCAGCCATGGTAACTGTGACCATGCGCATGCAAGTAGCCTTCCCAGATAAAACAAGACTTAGTTTGCATTTCAGAGAAAGAGTTGCAAGTTATGTTATGGGTGTTAGGGAGTAAGCTGCAACATAGTTTTAAAATGTTAAATGCAAGTTGAGCACATGCATGAAATCTCCACAGTTATTATCAAAGCTAAAAGTAAAGACTTAGTTGTAAAAGGCTACATAAATATGATAGTCCTATTTCTGAAGCAACACATCTTTGGCAAAATAATAACAGGCAGATGTAGGACAAGGCAGTAAAGTAATATAATATGAATCACGATTGCTACAGCACAAATATTATATTCATGTATTTCCTTATTAAAGTTCACAAAATATTGAACTGCACTTGTTCTATTTCGGTTACAATATTGAAAAACTATCCAAATATAAAAGTATCAACCGCTACTGTTATTAATGCAATCAATTCAGATATGAGCTCAGATGTTATTGTTAAGATTTTATTTCCAACTTTATTACATTCTACTACCACTTTTTCAGTCTTAAATAATGACAAATATTAAGTTCATAAGAGTTGCTGATAATTGCAAAAGAAAACAATGAAATCACATTAAACTGATAAACCCTGAAATTACTACACCTGGGATAAGAATTTGAATAAAGAGCAATATTCCACTGTAAGCTGAATCCTTCAACTTACGCATGTTTTTATTTAAGAGCCATCACTTCCTTGCACAATAGCTAGAATCACTGGGGATGTAGCCTTTGTAGGATTTTTTAATTACTTCATTTATCTTGATGATCTTTTAGATTTACTGAAGTAATCTATGAGAGTGTTATTTTAATGAAATTGCAGTGACTTATTACCATTCCACCGCCCAGAATTCCTTACTGCTAACATTAAATAATCCACTAAAAATTTACAAGTTTGTTTGGCCGGTGTTTGTAGCAATGCCAGAATGCTGACACTCACTGATCAAGAGCACTTCTTACTCCAAATAGTCTCAAGTCTGTGATAGCTATGCAGTATTTTAACATATTTATCCTAGAAAAATCATTACAGAATTCAGATTTTTTGTCTTAATATTAACTTGATTTGCTTATAGGTGCAAGCTCTAGGACTCAATTTATATATATGATTTTAATTATATATCATTTTAAATTCCCTTTGCGTTTTTAACTAATTTCATTAACTTGCTTTTAAGAAAATTATTCATTTCCCTGTAGCAGAAGCTGTGGATCTTCCAGACTGACACTAATTTCCATCCTTGTTCACTAGCAGTAAGTTTCCCCATCTCACGTACAGTGAAGCTAGAGCCAACGGAACCTAGCATAGTGCAGTGCTCCAGCTCTGGTTCCAGTTCTGATAAAACAAGAAAGAATTGGATGTTTCAGAGGCAGAGCAGCTGCTAAAGCTCAAAAAAATCCTGTGTTTAATAATGTTAGAAGCTTGTTTGGTAAAACTAACATTCTGCACTCATACGTTAACCAGAAAGGTTGAATATGTCAACCTACTTGTTTTGTTAGCACAATACCATCTCACAGACCAGATAGTGCACATGCTCTTTTCTCCTTTCCCTTACCATCAATATTACAGCTGCTCTACAAATCACCACCTTTTGTGAAAAGGAGGACAGAAATCCTCTCCAAAATCCCTAGGAGCACTTGCTTTATTACCTGAGCAAAAAGGTTTCCTACCAAATTCACAGATGTTTTATGTTCATCGGAACCACAAAGCACTGTATAATATGAACAATCTCTCCTCAAGAGATAGTTTTAATATAATTTTAATGAGCCTATAGTTCAAATACATATTTGTTTCTCATTTAGCCTCCTTGCCTGTTAGATATCATTACTATTCATTAAACTGCATTTTCAACCTCGATTCAAAAAGACACTTAAGGAGAGGGAGCTTCTTGAAAGAACTTAGGCAAGAAGTATAAGCTTCTTAAACTGCAGTCACCTTAGATATATTCTCAGGCAGAAAAGAATATCGAGGAAATCTAGACCATGAAAAAAAAAAACCAAAGATTAGCAATTTTATACATAATAGACTACATATATATACACACACACACACGTCATTACTTCTACATTATAAAAGACAGTCTCACAGATAATTACTCAAAAGCACTATACATTTCAGTATCACATGGGTGGTTTAGTCCAGAAGTTTAACCAAAGGTCAGCTACCCAAGGCCACATTTACAGTCTAAAAAAGAAAAAATTGCCAAATTGTAGATTCTACTGGGATTAACAGGACGACTTGAATCTGCATCTATTTATTTATTGTGCTTTTATTGTTATGACCTGAGGATGAGAACAGGCACTGAGACTGGTGCAGCCTCAGTGCTCAAGCCATAACAAGGACTTACATTTGAAGCACTTCTTTTTCTAGCAAGCAACAGCTTAGCAAAGTTTGAAAATGTCACTGAATGTGCCATTTTTGGTTTGTGGAGTAATTGCCACATTAATTTCATCACAGGTTCCAATTTTGGGTGGGATTAAGCACTCATCTTCATATTTCCCACCTAAGAACCCCTCCTTTTAAGTTCCGCTTTATTCGAAAGTCAGAAAAGATTGGGGATCTATTGTCCAAAACTTCCTGGTTGCATAGAAGTTCTCTGCTAAAATCTTGGCATATCAGCAATGATGATAAGCAGCACATCATTAAGTTACAAGCAGGAGCAGCTGGGAAAATGTGAGGAGAAATCTTTAAGGTGAAATTTAACCAATAAATGAATGGGACGACATGGAATGCATGCCTAAAGGCACTTGAATACAATTCCTTTCAGATTTAATTCCTCTTTTTCCTAGTAGATTTCTGAGTCTAGTACAATAGGAACAACTATAAGACTGCAAATAAAGACAACAGGAAATTCCTTCCTTGATGATGAAACTTGAAACAGCAGTGCTAAAAAATTATTAATCATTTCTTCTCCTTTTCATTTTGCAGACTCATTGATTACCTTCAAATATCTTTGGTTTTCAGGAAGTTGGTATTTTGCTTCTCAGCCACTAAGATATTTTTTGTTAGACATTTTATTAAACCCAGATTATTTCAACAAAGGTGAAGTCATTTTGTCTTGGATTGATTTTAGTGCAGTATTTATATTGATTATTTAGAATCACAGGCTATAACAGTTAAAGAAATGTTTTTTTTCTTTGATCAGACTGAGTAGCATAACAAATGAAAGGAATAAACTCTGTGACATCCTTAACTATTGTTTCATAATTTAAAAATAGAGATAGAATGCCATCTACTTGCTAGTTCCCAATATTGCTAGCTGAAGAAAAAGAGCTAGACTGTTTGCTTTACTGCACTTTCTATTACATACCTTGACTAACCTGTTAGTTAAAGCATATTAACTAACATAATTAATGTTAGTTAATTAATGTGACGAGAATTATACGGGGGAAAGAGGGAGGTGGGATGTAACCACAAAATTAGCATTCACCTGATCAGTTTGATGCATCAACAATACAACACAGCAGAACTCTCTCCCTTTCAAACACATTCATTCAACCCCAAATGTCATTTCAGAACTAAGAGGCACTCTCTGACATTTTCTTTTCTATAATCCAGGTCTTGATCAGGAATTCACATTACAGAAAGTATAGAAGCAACAAGGATAACGATCAGAGATGGTGTTTGTGCTGCAATACAGTTTGTACCGTAGTGTTTGTCTCTGGAGACTTCATAAAAACATACTAGCTCCTGAAATTCCAGGATGGCTGTTAGCAACTGTTCACAACAGTGAAAAGTTGTTAATCAAGTCAAGGGCAGAAAAAAACATACAATTATCCCTGTTGTGTCAATGCTTTCATCACAGAACCCAAAATCAAAAGTCGACCGGAGAAATCTAGAAAAAGAACTTATTAACTCATATGAACAAAGGAGGGCTTATATTTAAATATGTGAACTTTACTTACTAAAGTCTATAGTGGTTCTGCACCAGCTTCATTTGCACCTCAACATAATCTTCATTTGTAATTTTTTTGGACTAACAGAAGAACCTCACTAACAAACCATGACCTGCTTCAGAGAATTCTGTTAGCTGGAACTCGAAGATCCCTGGACTGCTCTACCTAATATATTTGAATAAAACGTCTTTTAAAAAAATAAATAAAGAAAATAAACAAAAAAAACCCCCACCATATTCCCTATGGCCAAGTAGCCATCAGTGTGAATAAACGCCTCAGAAATAAGATCCATAAATCCTGTGTGTTAAGTTGTCACATCATTAGTTTTTCTAACACTTTTACCTTTCTTTATGTATACTTACTTGGAAGCTCTATAAACCTTTTAGAAATCTTTATTTTTCACCTGGGAATCAAGCAACAAGTCTCCAGTGAGCATTTCTCTGCTACACAAAAATGGATAGGGGACTGTTAACCTGAGAATCATTAAGAGTTCTATTATCATTTGAGCTGTACTTGTTTTCTGTTCTTAAATCTTACAGAGGACAAAGATTATTAATTACCATTATTGGTATTCCCACTGACAGGCAAAACTATTCCAGTCTGTCCCATCATGAAGTACAAGTCCCAACAGAAACTTCAAAGGCACTTCTACCATTATGGCAACACAACATCAGTGAATTTTATTAATTTTTATGTAGACAGCATCTGTGAGTGCATTTAAGCAAGTAAATCTCTGTGCATTCTCTGCATGTACAATAGAAGCATCTGTAATTTCTGCAGTTCCACCTAAGTAGGTTAGGTCAGGTCAGTACAAGTAATTAATATAAATGACAAGAAGTTCATAAAAGCAATTTAATTTGAATTAACAGTTTATCTACTCCCAGGCTTCACTACAGTCAAGAGGCCGCTACTTCTTTCTATTAATATTTTTATTTATGTAACATCTGTGTTAGAGAAGATGAATGTATGCAAGCATACTAGTATAGAAAATTTCAGGATAAACACCCAAGAGTCTATATTGCATATAATTATTGAAAATATCTGTCAGTAAAACTCGTACATTGCTGCCTTTATCCAGATGAACTCCTGAAAACATCAATTCTGAACTAGTTTCTACATTATCAACTCTGTATTTTATGTATTAATATTATTTAACACAAATATATATTATAAACAATTACAAATGTGTTTTTTCTTAAACATGGTCTTAAATTCCCTCCTAAGCCAATCGTTCTGAGTTACAATTTCAGAGCCACGTTCTGGAAATGGATTGAATTACATTAGAACAAGTGGAAACTCCAGAAATCTGAACTTAATCACCTTGGTTCAAACTGAAGTGGAAATCATTTTTTGTATGCAACTTCAGTGAAGGACACAGCATGTGTCAGACCACTCTTGTGACTGTGAACATACACAAAAAGAAAGTGATAGAGGCAAGAGTATGTTTTGTTTCTTTACAGGTTACTACAGCTGATGCTGAGGTAATCAGTGACACCAGTCAGCAAAGTCTGAAATAAAACAGCCCTCTATGCCCATTTGCAACAGCAGCTACTGCTCACACTGTATCTGTTTAAAAATACATATACACACACCTATAATATTGGAGCTACTATTGACATTTACAATTCTAAAGTAATTTACAAACAATTAATTAGTCCCGCAATCATTTCAGGCTGGTAATTATCTTAATTTTGCTAAAAGAAAAAGAGATCTGTCACATGGAGAGTTTGAGAGACTCTCAGAGAAGCAGTGTTGGTTCACTGTTTGACAGTCAAGCAAACATCCCCCTCCTAACACCCTACAAGATCACAAAAAGAAATCATCTCTGAGCTTGTTTTGTTTGCTTTTTCTCTTAATAAACAATTCCTTTCTGGTTGGCACAGAACAATTAGGAACACGTTAAAAAATTGGGCCCAGCACTAAAAACAGCGATGTAACTTCATCCAGTTACCTAAAGGAATTAGATCTGTGTATGGACAATGGGTGCAAAGCATTTTAGTGTTACTGAAGTCGTATTACTAAAGAACATTAATCAGCAGTGCTCAAGACGTCCTGCAGCAAGTAATTTTTAAGTAGTAACATTTTAAATACCAGCTTTCCCTAAAAACAGCTACTTTATTTTGACAGATTTTAATGCTGGCACGTAGTTTTGCATGAATCAGAAGGGTTTTCTTTCAGAAGCCACAATCTCCTTATGAAAATTTCCTGTTTACTTAGAGAGGGAACTGGTCTGGGCTCGGCCTTCTCATCTCGAGTCTTTACCAACATTTTTGCTATCTTGCAAGACCTATGCAAGTTCATTATGCAAGATTATAGCTGGTCTGGATGAAGCTTGCTGAAACTGAGGTATTTTCTTTCCTTTTTGGGGATGCAAATTTCTGATGTTTTCAGTTTCGCTAGAGATTTTGTCACCAGAACTTTTAGACAAAGCATTAGAAATGAGCATTATCACTTCAGTTTACTTATATTCCTGTACATCACAGCATACATTTTCTTTTATGTGTACACACACACATACCCCAGATATCTTTCCAAAGGATTTCAAGTCTAAGTTGTAGTTTGGATAAGATGTTCTTTTTGCACTATAGCCTCAAAGGAAAACTTTGTATAACCACTTTTACATAGAGAATGCCACTTTTGGCCTTTAGTGAGGCTTAAATTACAGTTTTCCCCTTACAGCCCAGAAAGTCAGCTTTAGCATGGGTCTTTCACACAGCAGTGCTTGGATGTTCTTCAGTGAAGGCAATTTATACTCCCTGAAAAAGGGTTTAAATTGCACTATAATTTTTATTACCTCCAGTACATAAGAGTGCCTACATAGGTCACCTTCTCATCCATAGATGGATACTACGTGTTGTAGGTAGACAGACTGAGAAATATTAAGAAGAAACCTCACTCTAATTGGATTAATTACTGTTTGTTTGAATGTCATATTCAGCAGCTGAGATTGACTGAGATGATGAGAAGCAGCTGATTCGTGGTCCCTTCATAGTATGGTTTGCAGCTCATCCTCACTATAAATATAATATTTAATCTGTTTCCAAATTTGCTCAAGAAAGTGAACAGACACCAGCCTTCAGGATTTTACCTATCATAATTTTTTTTCGTGTAACACAAGAGGCAGTTCTTGGTGGGATGGGTTCAAAATGAAGTTTTCCATTTTTGTTTTCTTTATAATCTCACTATTTGAAACTGGATATCAAAACGTTCACTTAGAAATCGCCATTAGAGTTAAGACATATTGTTTCTTTGTTCTGATTGTTCCCCCTCTTTCATCTCCCTGTATGTAAATATTATCCTCCTATCTGTCTTCAGCAAGAGGAAAATTTATTTTCTCCTCTCATATGCCTCAGACTACAACTACTAATCTTTTCAAGTGAGAAACTAAACCTTACCTCTGAAGGTCCTTTTGACAGTATCTATCAATTTGGACCTTCCATCTTCTGTGGAGGAGCTCTCCATAACCTGCAGAGACAAGCAAGCTCCTATTTCTCCCTCTTTATGCAAGAGCAGACAGACACCTGCTCTGCTACCTTGCTGCCAGGTGCCATTCTTTTCCCTCTGTTGTTGTGCCACAGAATTCTCTGTGGTATTGCAGGGAAAAAATACGGGAAAAAAAAGTGATAAGAAATGGGTTTAATAAATTTGTCACGTTTCAGCAACACTTGTCTTCCTGAGGGCTTATAGAATTGCTCATTCCATTGCCACATAAATGTCATGTTAACCATCATAATATCCTTGTTATCATGCTCACAATGCTTTCTTATCTTCATCTCCATGGATGTTAGGAAAGTAATGCGACCCTTATATTGTACAGCTATTTTAACTCTTCCCTCCCCCAAAGTATTCAACTGCCTGATCACACTGAAGTTTTCCTCTTGGACTGCAATAACTTCTACACAACATCTACACAATCGTATCTACACAAGCAGCTTTCTCAATGGCAAATTCCATTTCGGATGCATTCTTTCTCTATTTTGAAATTTTGTATGGAGTGTCCTGAAATCTTCCTGCTACAACTCAAATGGGAAGAAACAGCTATACCATTTTTACTGTTATTCTCACAGAGTCAATAACCAAACTTCTAACATTGCCAATAAGCGTTGCACATAAAATTGTGTTCCTCGACCTGTCTCTAGATCTATTACAAAACACTGTAGGAGAAGACATTTGTCATTTGTACAGATATGAAGATACATTACAAAGCCAGGTACTTAGGCAATATACAACCTTTGCCAGAAGGGCAAAGTGGATTTGGGAAAAGAATTCCACATTTGTCCCCAAATACAGAGAATACATGGAAACCCAATTTTGAAAACCATTTTCTTTTACAGAATTCAGTGACTGGATGATCCAGCTGGGGAATGTCTGACCTGAAAAGATTTGCCCAGTAAACATTAAACATAATAGAAGTAGCAAGCAAGAGAAAAATAAAAACAAAACAACAACTCAAAATCACAGCTGTGAAAAACAAAAACCACACAAAAACAACTCTACAATCAAATCAAAGACAAGAAATACATATTTGATAGGGGCAAAGAGTTTGAAGCAGTACTAAAGATAAGAAAGAGCTCTCTGTAACAGTTTAATAAACCTAACATTATTACTGCTATTTAATATCTTAACATCTTTTTGGGAAATATAAATTATTCACTGTTGGAGTGCCTTGTAATTTGATTCAAATGATGAATGCAGAAAACACTTAAATCGTGAAATATATTTCGTATGCATCACACAGGAACATTGACCAACTTACTGAAACAGGCTCTTGAGAGATCTGGATGACTCAGATGACTGCTAATAGGTTGTGGCGTCCTTCATCATTAAGATCATGAGTTGAATCCAAAACAAGTTGAAAGCAACTGAAAATGGTTTCTCAAAAAATCTAGAAAGTAAAAAAGAGTTCTATTAGTCTCCTTGATCATGTCCTCTCACCTTTTCTTCAGGAACGTTTTTTGAATCCCTGGCTTATAGTACAGCAATATAGAAAATGTTCAGCCCTTCTTGACAAGTTTTTGAAGGCTGAATGGATCATCATACTCCTTACTTCATTCTTGGATTCAGTTCTGAACTTTAGTCTGTCCTTCACATTCCTTGTGGTAGGATGCAAGACATCCTACCGGTTTATTGGGGGATGATACCACACTGACATCAGGGACTGCAGTCTGCCCAGATACACACTACGGATCACCATCTTTTCAGGGTTCTTTTCCCCTTGCTTAAAAGCACACACCTGCAGCCCAAGAAACCAAGTTTGCCTTATTTTTTCCAGAAATGTAACCTTCTTTCATAGTTCAAACCTTCAACATGGTACTGATGTCACTGTCAGCACCTAACAGCAGCCTGCCTACCTGTGTACTTATATCAGTGGAAAAGTCTCAGAAACTGAACATTCCCATTTACTTAAATGGCAAATATCAATATTGCATGGTACCCCACAGAGACATCCAAGATTCTCCAACTTATGAAGTTGTTTCTAAGAAATGTAATACAAAAGGCTATTCATGGGAAGGCACTCATCTTGCCTGGAGCAAACTGCCATTGAATAACAAAAGTCAGAGCCTTTTAGTTAAAGATTGACTAACATAGCCAAGAAGAAAAGGTAAGACTTAACCAAATTAGATATATCACTGTTATAAAATACTCTGAGACAAGCTTAGCTTCTGTGCTTATTGGTGTGAAATCCACTGAGATGCCTTATAACTCTTGCAGCTTTCAAAATAGCAATACTTAAGACCACCTTAAGCTTCCAAAGTGAGACAGATTGTGTTATTTCTCAAACCACATATCTGGTCACCAAAGAGGAACCAATGAGAAATTCAGCATCCCTTCACAAGAGGCTGCACCAACAATTGAGATGGAAGCCACAAGTTCTTTTGGATACTAGGTACAATCCCTATATTTGTCTCCTATCAAGAAACATAGGTTTTTCTTCACAGAAAGTGCAACAGAGACTCAAAGAGGAAAAAAGCAGTATACAAAATCTAAAATACTCTTTTTTAACTCTAAGGTTGACATGAACTATATTTCTACTAAGCTCCACAGTCATCTAGAAGAAACTCGAAGAAACAAAGATGAAGAAAAACTTCCACGCGTATATACATACATACACAAACACACAGAGAGAATTTTACAAATGTCACTATAACAGTTTCATGTGAAAATTCTATGAGATGTTTTTAGCATATTTCAGAATAATTGCATCATTTGGAATAAAAACCAGTGGTAAAGCGATGCTATCACATTCTTCAGTAGGAAGAAAAAGCAACCTCTTTTTTTTCCTGATGACTGCAGCACAGATTATCCTGAACCATATTTAACACTTTCAACTTCCAGTGAGGCATATACATTTGGAAAGCACTGCAAGGATCAAAGCAGAACTTTGTTGCCATACAGATTATGTATTCTGCACCCAGACAAAAAAATACTGTTTGCATTTCTACGGATCTATGAGTCTAATCAGCTAGAATTTCTAAGAAAAAATTAAGCAGTTCACAGCAGAGGGGCAGACCCTGTACAATCTCATTACTGTGCTAACACCAGGAACTTTTTTCTAAATTAACATCCATAATATCTGAGATAAGAGTCATTGTGAGTTTTTAGCCACTTGTTTTCAGTTTCAAACAAGAGCGGAGTTTCTGCGTCACAAAACTTCTAGGAGTGACTCTTAGGTACGTCTGGTTGAAGGAAAGAATGAATAAGCTGTATGAAACAGTAGTAAGTGATTAGGAATAATTTGAACAGAGTAAGATGAAAGTATAATAAACTGCTCAAAGAGAGTGGAGATGAAATATATTGCCTTGATTTGTACAAGGCAGGGTGACACATATGTAGGATTGATTTGTGGAATACCTTCTCTTTGAGCTTGATTCTCTTGCCTTTTGCATCTGCAGCCCACAGATCTTCTAAACATTTGGCTTTCTCCATTTACTTAATATGGCTGTAATAGTTTCCAAATGATTAATATCACCTCTGTACAGATACAAATAAATAAGTTGCTACAAACTGGGTATTGGGAATCCTGAAATGTAATTAGCTGCATACATGGGATTTTTTTATTGGCAAATCTCAAACTATACAGTAAACAGAAATAAAAGGACAAAGTATGACCATGCAACATCATTACTCAAGAAAAAAATGATACATTTATACCCTCATTACTCACATTTTATAGTTGTGGATGCTGAAATACAGAGAAAGTGGCAGTGCAAGGTCACTCTGGCAGAGCTTGGAACAAAAATCAGACATCTTATTCTCCAGGATAGTGTTCTGCTCTCTATTGCATAAATTGCTTTTCTCCTTACAAACAAAAAAAGAAAAAAAACAACAACAAGATAAAGATCACAACACTGAAGTGACAGAAAAGGCCCTGAGTGACACACAGATAAGCATGGACTTAAGATAAGCTGCATTACTGAGTCTCATTTGCAACAATACAATTTGTTGACTTCACTAAACCATATGCAGAAATAACATCAGCACTAACAGGAACGCCTAAAAATCTTAAAAGCAATATCCTGGTCACTCTGAATTCACTGATAAAATTTCCATTGTGACTAAAATTTTATTCACAATACTGCCTTTGAACGTTAGTATCTTGTAAATTATCTCATCTGAAAGCAAACTACTGCCAACAAATCTGTCTATTCACTCCAGCAAAGTCTAGATCTACTTTTGAATGAAGGAGAGTGGAAAAGGCAGAATATTACGTCTCTTCAGCTAGGATTTTGTGAGGACTCACTAATGATTTCTCTCTTTTTCAGCATGCCTCAAGCAAAGCAGTGGAAACATCACACATTTACGTCAAGCAATGTCACTGGAGAAAGAAAGGCAAAAGGAGAAGGGGGTATTTACTTCAAACCAAAGTACAACAAAAAGAATATTTTTCTGTAGAAGAAATCCTTTTTGAGCAGTGGCAGCATGTTTAGCAAGCTTCTCTATTCTGCCATCATTTAACAAAACTCTGCCTAAAAATAGTTTTCAGTCCTCATAAGTCAGAATATCTAGATCTCTAATTATTACTTCTACTCTTTGCTGAACTCTCTCTGCATATGTATTTTTGTCTGCTGCTAAAATGTCCAGAAATGAATGCAGTTTCCAAGGTGGTCTTTTTTTTGAAGATAAATACTGACCTGATCTGTTATATCTCACATATGTTAATAGAACTCAGAACGGTAGTAGTTCTTTCTGGAGCCAAATGACACTGCAAACCCTGTGCCTCTTCCAAAATAAGGATGATTTCTTGTTTTGCTGCCTTGAGCTACTTTTGGCAGTATTTTAGCCATCATATTGATCAACACAAAGCTAGGTGCTTACTTGCAAAGCAAGGTCCTAAATAACATAAGTGTCAGAGAATCTGAAACTTTCTAATGCTTTGTTCATGTCATTTATTTGCCCTTGCAGCAACTGAGGCTGTTCAAGGAGTGGAAGAACACAGCTCCATAAACTGAGAAGGGAATGTCATCCAGTCCAAATATTCTGGATTTGTTTCTTTGCTTTCACGTACTGGGAATACTGAATTATATTACAGTTTTATTGGCAGCTGTTTTGCTTTGTATTTACAATGACCTAGATTGCCAGTTTCCAATCTGACTGCAAAGCAGTTGAAACATAGCTGTACTTTCCCAGAAGAAGACTTGGGGAATCATCTGGCAGGGACAAACAGTACACCATGAGCACATGCCTCTTCTAATCCTCCCAGCTCCTACAGAACTAGAGAATAAAATATTATGAGAATGTGTCTAAAGTTAGGACTACAAAAAAAAAAAAAAAAAAAGAGCAATTTATCTGCTTTTCTCTCAAGAGTTTGCAAGCACAGGCATGGTTGCAAAGACTGAAACACGTTTATATTTTAAAGATGCAGGAAGAGACTCCCAATGTGAAAAAGTTGATGGAATTATAAATATTGAGCTTCTTGGCTTCTTTTTCTCAGCCTTTTGGTGCTGATGTGCTTCAAATCTGAGAGACAATTTGGATGATTCAGTGCTTGTTTCAGAACAGCTTTTGAAAATATCAAGTATCTACTACTCTTTCCCTTCCTAGTCTCCACTTTCAGAAGGAACTAAGAAACTTTTAGTGAATAACATGCTCTACCACAGAACAGCATTGCCACCATCTCTGGCTCTGAACCAGGAATTCATAGTATCACCTTACATAAGCACTATATTCATTAACAGATTGATAAAGACAATGTCAAACCCAAGAACAACTCTGACAATAAAATTGCAGCATCATTCTATTATTAGTACCACAATCAGTCAAATGCTGAAAGATTTTTAAAGGAATTTTGGGATCAGTATTGTGTCAGCAATTTACTAATGATGGCAATTCATGGTCACTTCAATCACACATTAAAGTTTTCAGTCTGAAAGTAAAGTATTTGTTCTTGTTCTTATCTCTCTCTCTTCTACTGTCAGCCACTCTTGCTACAAATTTATTATTAAGTACAGAAAAAGCATCACTTTTTCCTGTGATCCAAGTCCCTCTGCATGAAAGACATTTGTATAAAAGGGAAAGCACAACGGACGCCTTTCTAATTTCCTTTCAATCATATTTGAAAAAGCATAGTAATTAGACCTGCTAAAACAATGCTGTCTTATTTGATATGCTGGTTCAGAGATGGATATTTTGTGCATCTCTATTTCACTGGAACTGGAATTTACTTTTCTGGCAAGGTTGACCAAATAGATGTTCAGAAAGCTAAATCTGGTCATATGAGCATACGAAGTGGGCTCAGCACAAACCAGTACAGCCAGGTCCCACTGACCCAACTTCTTCCAACACTCAACATGCACCATCTCCTGGTCACCTCTTATAACTACATACACAACTAATGAGCCTTGGATTTTCATTTTGAATGCCTCATTCAGCAAACAAAATTCAAAC